GTCACTGAGACAGGTGTACGTGCACTGTCATTGCTCGTCTCTAGATTTGTTCGTGTTGCCAGTGAACCTTTTCTGCAACACCAACCTCATATTTACATTAATCCTTGATCCGCAAGCCTTGCTCTCCTTCTGTCTCTTTGGACGCACGTAATAAATCTGACTAAATTAATTTATTTATGAACTCTGAACTTGACCAACTTCCACGAGCGCCAGGTGAAAAGTGTGAAGTTACAGTCCACTGTACTGAAGACAGGAGCCGTACTAGTGGGGATGTTGACTCCTATGGCTACTAGAGGGTCAAATGCCACTCTCCTTTAGGGGCTTTTGTCAGGGGAACAAGTTTTAAATTCTGGCAGATTTATCAATCATTCTGTCTCCTAGACTTGTTCCCTCACAAAGGGCCTGCCCAGGGGAAGCTTATGCAAAGGCTTTGGTTTTGATAGCTTTTATCACCAGGTGCTGGTCCCACTGCTTCTGAAAGCAACAGAATTTGCAAAATATTTCTCAGATGCATATATGTATGTGTGTACATACACATATGTATGTAGCCTTTACATGTGTTTTCTCCTATGTATATTTCTGTATGAAGAGAAAAGGTACACACTGAGGTTATTTTATTTGCTTAAAGAACCTATTTTTATTTCCCTCAGTTAAACAGAAAACACCCAACTGTCAAATCATCCCATTTAATTAAAACAGGGTTGGTTTTTTTTCATATGATGCCTCTTAAGGAGTTATGAAAGACTAAGCAGCTCTCATGAGAGGAGAAGGATTCTAGGGCTAATCTCATTTGATGCAGACTCTCTTGATGTTTGATACTTTATCCATATTTTCAACTGAGTTTGAATTATGTTTAAAGAAAATGCTAATTCACACATGAGCTGTTGTCTCTTCTGTCATTACAGAAAACAAGGATGTTGGCCAAACCAGACAAGATTTTTTTCCTCAGAATTAGGTGCTAAGTCCCTAATCATCATAGAGCAGCAGTTTCGTCTTACAGGAAGAGAAGTAGTCACAACTCTGTGGCTTCTGCTTTCGAGTTTTCAGCACTGCTGCTTTCCTGGTGCCGCTGTCCTCCGTACCAGTATAATGGGATAGCAGCGGGGCACGTAGATTAATTAGTGGCTGTAAAGCATGTGGAGCTCTTTGGTTAAGTGGTTCAAAGGAAACTATTCTTCTAAGTGACCCCTATTGTACTTACCTGGGCATCCAACCGCTGAGAGGGCAGACTGCTTATGTCTAGAGTGTTAATTACCGCGTGTCCCTTAATCATGAAGGTTTGTAATCCTGTTTCAGTTTGGAAATCCACATGCCACAAGGCCCAATTAACATCTCTGATATCATCACCTGCTAGTCAATACACAGCTATTAGCCACCCATAACTATTTCTGACGAACTTCTGTGCAGACGTGCTAGGACAAGTTTTGCCAAGCTATATTGGAAGATAGTTTAGCAAGGCTAGTTACAATAATACCTGTTTAATTTGACGGCATTGGGAAGTCTCACATCACAACAAATATTTTTTATTTGGTTTAAAATTTGTCTTGCAGAGATTAAGGCTTCAGTATAAATCTTTGCTTTTATTAGGATGGCAAAAGGTTTCAAATGGGTTTTCCTCCAGTTTTAATTTTTTTTTTTGTTGATTTCACACCAGCCTTCTGGTTCAGGGTAACTCAAGAATTCTCCTCTCAAAGGCCATCGTCACTGTTTCTAAATAATGAGTGCTATAGCATCTGTAGCTAAGGAATTTATAACTTTCTTTTCACTTACTGCATCTTTAGGTTCCCAAAGAATGTCAGGAAGGAATTGCTATTCTGTAAAGTGCAGCATGTTAGAGAATAGATAAAATTGTGTTTTCTCATAATAGTGGAAACATCATTTCTTCTCCCACGTACACACTTCCCTTAATCACAAGTAAATGCCACATTGAAAGAAAATTATTCCTTGCATAAGTGAAAAAACCCCAGATTTTATTTCTAGACCTTACCACGACACTTGATTGTTCTGCCAGGTCCAGACAGCACAGGGATCAGACTAATTTTCCCTGTTTATTATCCCAAAGATGATGAGTGCATCACTTACAGTAAGGATCCTTGGGGTTTGGGTTGCTTTTTTTCCTCGATCCTACTCAGCTCTTTGCAACACATTTGCAGAGGAACAAAGATGAGGCAGGGGGTCCTTCCCTTCTAATGTAGAAAATGGGCCCTTCTGCTGCAATGCTGCAGAGCAAGCACTGTTGAGCCATGCTCTCATAACACATTCCCGCCCCCCTCAAATTACATATGAATGATAATTTTGAAGAGTGTTCTATTGAGGTTTAAGTTGGTAAAGGGAAAGGAACGTATGTGTTCAAGTAGATGTTAGAATTAGCATTTTTAGAATTGTCATGCTATGTGTTCACAAAATGAACCTTTTTTGCCGTTTAGGTAAACTGAAATGTATGTACCACTATGTGGCTTAATACAGCAATTGGAGGAGGAAGAACATCCATACTCCACCTCTGTGATGGCAAGATATACTTCAGAATGGGGGGGGAAAAAAAGCAGTGACTGCCAGAGGGCATTTAAATAATAAAGGCTGGAGCTCAGAGCCTTGTCCTGTAACATCTTATAGTACCTACAGAAGCGCTGGCCTGTGTCAGGAATATCCCGAGGAAAAGTTGTGCATGCTTATGGGAATCTAAAGAGAGCTCGTCATCAAAATAAACTTGAAAAAATTGTTGGCTGTCATCACTGGCATAGCAGACAGGAACTGTGCCTAGAAATAGAGATTGGCATAGCAACATTGCTGGCTGTTTTGTAGAGAAGGCGGCTTATTTTTCCAGACTGCGACATTTAATAAACATTTTCTGTTTGTTGAAACTGCGGAACCTCACTAGATCAAACTGAATGCTAATCTGCTGGAGTTGCCACCACAGACTTCTGTCTCCAGTGTGTACACATCACGAGTCACCGTGGTTTCTTTGGTTTCGTCCTGTGGCATCTGTTCCTTTGTGTTTGTCCACGAAAAACAGAACATGGAGCGCGTTGAAACAGCCCCACAAATCATCCAGACGACAATTTGTTTTGCGAGATCCTGTTTTATCTCGTCCTTAGGGCTCCGTTAAGCTGCGGGCTGAGCAGCCCTTTGGCACAGCAACGCCTGACGGGCAGTCCGCTGCCTGAAGCGTCCCGCCGTGGGTCCACGCGCCACGCAGACGGACTCTGAGGGTAAAGGGAAGCTCGGAAGCGCGCATCCTAAAAGCTCTGAAACACCAGACCGTAAATAAATTTGACTCTTGGCTTAAACCTTTTAAATGGGGCTTTTAAGTCCAGACGGGCGCTGCCAACCCTGAGGAGAAGGCTCCCGCACCGGCCCCCCCGCGCACGGCTCCCTCACCGTTGCTAG